TTTTTGGTCTTTTTGAGACAGGGGCTCCCTGTAGCCCCAGCTGGCCTGGAACTCACTAAGTAGACCAGGCTGGCCTTGAACTCACAGATATCCGCCTGCCTCTGCCTCCCAACTGCTGGGATCAAAGGTGTGTGCCACCACACCTGGCACCTTATAACTTTTTAATTAAATTGTATACTGATCCAATCTATAAACAGTATATAAGTATTTCACAACTTAAAAATAAAGCACTGAGACTGTTGTGTGCTTACCTAGCACACGGAAAACCCTAGGTTCCATGACCAATATTGCATAAAACCAGTGTGGTGGCAACATACCTAGAGCCCCAGCCCTTGGGAAGTGGAGGCAGGAGGATCAGAATTTCAAGGTCGTCCTTCACTACATGAAGAGACTCTCTCAATGAGACAGACAGAGAGAAAGAGGCAAAGCATTAGCTTTCTGACACATTTTACTATCCACACCTTAATTTTACCTGGGCCTGAACAGTCAGGCCAAAGGACAATTCCTTTCCCCCCTTTTAGCAAAGCAAAAACTTCCAACTTTTTTTTTCATGCAGCCACTTCAGTTTAATAAGACAAATCACAATCCAGAGCAAGGGGAAAAAATAATAGCTCAGTGGTAGAGTGCATGCATGTGCAAGACTCTAGGTTCAATCCCCTGCACCAAAAAGCAAACAAAAACCTAGAAATCACAATCAAACATGGTAGGGAAAAATAATGAAACCTGGAGAGGACTTAAAACATCTGAAACTAAATGGAGAGCTACAAAGTATCAGAAAGAACAGGTGTTTATGTAACACTGTATACTGACTCCAACCCAGAAAAGACCCTCACAGATAATGCATGACCACTTAAAAAGCAGAGAAGCATGGCACATCAAGTACAAACCACAACTGATTTAAAAAAAAAAAAAAAAAAAAGCATGCAAGCTTAAAGGAGCACACCCCTGATTCTGAAACTGCAATTCTCAAGCCACACCCAAAGTCCCTAACTAGTTTTTGGTTTGGGGTTCTTTTGTTTTGTCTCTTAATTCAAATTTACAATAAAATTCAACCACTATTTGATCTTTTGTTTGACACATCAACATGAGCTTTTATAAGGAGATACGGAATTGTGTTAAGTTCATGGAGAAGTATTAAGAGCTCATCCCAGAGGACTAGAAGTTATCTACCAGGTAAAAAAAAAAAAACAAGTTGATGGAAACACTATTTTCTAAAAAATCAATTTAGAAGATCTCAACTTAGTTAATAAACCAGAATAAGCTTAAAAGACCTAAGCTTATAAACATATCCTTCATAAACCTGTTTTTGAGAACCATTTAGGTTCTTAGTTGATGCCTTTCTATGTTAAAACCTGCAAATTCTATTCATTTACAATTTTTAAAAAAACATTATCCAAGCAACAAACAGTAGCTAGATTCGAAGATGCAGTCTCCCACATCTTCCTTTTTCTAGCGCCTAGCAGTTACCGACAGACAGTACCAAGAATGAATGACAGGATTTGTAATGCTTCAGTATTACCAGGAAAAAAACGAAACAAAACAAAAAAACTGCACACATACTTCCAGCATATGAACGATTTTAACTCACCAGTCACCATGTTGCATGTATTTCTGCTGCATGTCCTGAGTTCTTAAGACTTCTAACATTCTGAAGAAGATAGAACAAAGAAGTTCTTTCCATCCTCAGCCTCTTTTTAAGTTTTAACTTTGTTCTTAAAAAAATAGAGTATATTAGAAAAAAATTACCCCACTTGATTGCCATTTTTATTCCTTTTACTTTTCCTCAACCTTAATGGGAACAAAACTGTAAAATAAACTAGCAGATGTTGTCTTAGAAAAAAAGAGGTGTAGATTTCTAAAGCACAAACCTAGAATTCCCTTGCCACCGTACGTATCACAGCGCTGGGACAAAAAAAAAAAAAATAAAGGTGAAAAGGACTTAAGTCATTTTTATACATGTACAGACTTTAATAATTTCTGCTGGATACTTTGTAAATTACAAAAAAAAAAAAAAACGGAGAAAAAAAAGGCAGAGCATTGATTATAAAGTTGACCAAGGTAAGAGCAGTCCCTAAATCGGAACAGAAAAGCAAGCCCTTCCCACCCAAGCGGAATAAAAGGCTGCAGTTAGAATGAAATTTTAAGGCTCAGAGAATATGATACCATACACACAAGAGGCTCCTCTTCCGGAGCGCACAAAGGTGACGTGTATCAATTGCGCTTAAGGAAGAATTGGTTTCCTAACGTAAGGAAAGCAGGTACTACCGGGAATAACACTGTTAACCTTTCCTCCTCCGCACAAAGCAGCAGTACAAGGTGAGGAAACCCAAAGCCCTCTCGGGCCAATGGAACTCGGTTTCCGAAGCAAGGTAGCCCCTTCCTAGCACCCACCCCATAAGACATGGGCCTCGCTCAAGTAACAGCATTCTTGAGAGTACATGCAATTCCGTCCGCCTCGCAGAGGAGCCGCAAAGCCGTTAGGTTTCTCCGCAGACCTGGGCCACCGCTGCCCCGGACGTCACTGGACCAAGGGCTCACCCCTCCAGCTTCCCCACGCAGCAAGTCGCCCGGCCGCCCGCTAGCCTTCTGGGAAGGTGCCGTCCTGCTGGCTCTCGAGGCAGCGCCACCAACCAACAGCACGGCGCGCGCCGCAAAACTGGGGGGTCGCGGGCTGGCGCGCGCCCCGGAAGCCGCTCTTGCCCACCGGCCACAGCTGGAGCTGAAATATCCGTAACGGGAACGCGCACGTCGGGCGGCCCCGCGCAACGGGAGGACCGCAGCGAGCGCGCGGTGGCGCGCGCGCGCAAAAAAAAATCTCGGGCACGCGCCCGCCTCAGCGAGCACTCGCGCACCGCACCCACCCAGAGCCCAGGCCCGCTCCTCCCCCACCCGCGGGGCGGGGGCGCGTAAGCCCGAGGGACGTTCGCGGCTCTGGAGCCGCCCCGAGATCGCTTGAT